TATAATACAGAAACTGCATTGCAGTTTCTGTTTGTGTTTGTGCTGAGAAATTAAGACAGTTTCATTCCACTTACAAAATTTTGAGCAATGTCAATACACTTTTCTTCTTTTCTAGATCCCAACGATCTAAGTGGATTGTAGTGTCTCCACTTTCGTTCCATTTTGTGAAATGTGAGAAGTGTAAAGTGGAACTCAGAACTTGAAATGATCGGGAAGAAGAGAACATTGCATTTCCCGAGTTTTTCAAGTAAGTGTTCATACAGGGCCCTATGCCAATTTGGTTCTAGAAAGGTTTGCATGTAAGCCTGCCATCATTGAATGGCAATTTGTTAGTATATATTTTTCGAAAACTGCAGTGCCGTGTCTGTTTAAACAACTTTGAATTTTCAAAATAATTCTTACCCAAGTCCATGTAGACATGTACTGTGGACTATCTGTCTGCATGGGCCCTATTTTCTCCTCCTCTATTTGGATATAGGCCTCAATAACCTGTTTCACATTTATTGGAGAAAAATGGAATTATCAATGGGTAATATAGGTAGCACAAATAAAAAATGCAGTGCAGTGTGTGTTATAGAATTAGTATTTTATACTTACGTTTTGTGACAGTTCCAAGTCCCTTACAATATCTTTGATATCATGGTTTGTCACTTTCTCATTATCGAGTCCTGCCCAAAAGCTATCACTGCGGATTCGAATACATGAAATTCACAAGATTAGTTTTAGTTTATTGTAATTAAAAGATGAAAGAGTTGTTCTTTTGGAATAGAGATATTACCTAGGTTGAGTACTTAAGTAGTATTCTTGAATTCTGTCCCTGTCCTCCTTTGGAATTTTCTGCCAAACCCTCTTTTGACCCCATCCTAGTTTTTTCTTTGTTGGCTTTTTTTTTCCTTCATCTTCATCATTTGATTCTTGCATACCTACAGGTATTGAATCATGAAGGCTCGTTACTTTTGGGGGATCAGGAATTGATTTGTGGCATCGGGCTGAGATGCCTCTTGTGTTAACTGCAAATTGAAAAGAAACTAATTAGAAACTCCATTTGATAAAACAGAAACGGCAATGCAGTTTCCGTTTCTGTAAAGCAGATAACACACTGCATTGCAGTTTCTATTTGCTGCAATGCAGAAAACAGAAAAAGCAGCAGCTTGAACTGCAGTAATTGCATACCACCTCTTGATTTTGAGGATCCTCTTGTGTTGATTGCTCCTCGGAAGAGATAAGCTTGAATTGTGGTAGTTCTTCATCATCCTTTTTTGCCTTCTTTTTTGGTTTCTTATTTTTTTCGTACACATAGCAAGATGCTTGAAACCTCTTTCTTTCTCTATTCTTCAGCCTTAGTACTCTTGAAGGAACATCAGGTGTTAGAGCATCTTGCTTCTTCTCTTTTTCTTTCTCTTCTTGTTGCTTCTCTTCTTCTTTCTTGTCTTCTTCTTTATCTTCCTCTTCTTCTTCTTGCTCTTCAACTGGTTGTGTTGGTTGTGTTGTAGGCAGATCCATCTCCATTTCAAAGACTGTTGGGTCTGAGAACAAGCTTT